CAGCCAATATCTTAAAGTCATGAGCGGGTTGGCTATCATGTTGAATCATAGCTTTCTTCATCCATGGCTTCGTAATTGTAGAAAAATTATCTATATTTATATTTAAAGAATTTTTATTTGATTTATTTAACTTTTAATCATTTCTGTTGCGTTGGACTTGGACTAGGAACTGTATAATAAATATCTATCCAGGGTTCTCTATACCATCCCCAAGAACTCCGTATCAGTATCAATTTAAATCAAAGTAAACTAAATGATTTTAATTTGCGAATGTTTGTTGCTCTTTAAAGATAAGTTTTAATAAATGTTCAATAACTTTTAATACGAATCGAGTTTTCAAAAAATGTCGAAGCCTTAATTAATTGTTGATATCTTACTGAGGCTCGCTGCACTTCATTCTTCAATTTTGAAGGAACTTATATTATTAGAATTTTGCCTAATATTTATTCCATATCAAAAATATCAATACTTCTTACGTCTGTCATTAGAAAACTGAAATCATATCTCCATTGACTAACGAATTCTCATCGCTTTCAAGCTAAAATAATATTACGTTATTTGCCACTTTAAATTTTATAATTTAAATAAAAAGTTCAGCTTTGTATAAAACATATTCCTTGCTAAACAAAACTTAAATTGAAATTATTGTTTATTTAATTAAATATTTGAACAACATTTGAAGTCACATTCTAGTCAAGGGTATTTTGTGAACTTCAATCAAACTTTTAAATTCCCTTTGTTGCACACTGATAAGCGTTGCTGAGTTGAAAATAGTTTTCCATTTAGCTGCAGTTGCTTGAACAATGTGAATTGCTAAGTCGTCGGCAGCAGCAACAGTTGTGTGTGTATTCCGGTCTTAGTTTATTGATCCATCGTGGCGTATGCGCAACATTTGTGCACAGCTGCTGGTTAAAGCTGCAGCAACAAAATGCTGAGATCGTAAACTTGTCGCGTCGTGTTTTTCCTTCTTTTTCGTAACTTGCAAATAAAAATGTGGCTGCCGTCGCTTTTGAGCTCCTCACTAATCGATGCTTAGTCGTGACGCGCCTAATGGCTCGGGCTCTCGCCATTTTGTGTGAAAAACTCTCAGGGTCTGTGAGTGACTGACTATACAATGTACAGTACATATGTAAATAGAAATGTGCGTATGTTTGTTTGTTAACTTTATCTGTTATCTAGCGTGCCTTTTGTGTATGCGCTATCAGGCGGCGTTGGCCAACGGTGTCAACTATATGCATGTCGGGGCCATTGGCCAACAACAACAACAACAGCAACAACACTAACAATAGCAACAAAAAGTCGAGCAACAGATCCACTAATGAATGTGGTTCGGTTGTGTCCAGACACTCAACAGCAACAACAAGAAAAATAACGACGACAACAACAACTCTGTTGGCTTTTACTTACCTATCCTATTGACATAATGTAAGCGCGCGCCATGTCCGACATGCTCTGCTTCTTACTTCTTTTCCCCTCGCCCACACTCTCTCTCCCTCCCATGCGCTGGTTTTTGTGGTTGTCGCCGACGCCATTGGCATAAAAATAGTTTTGTGGCTTTTTTTGTGTTCCTGTGGCTGTGGCTGTGGTTGTGTCCGTGTCTGTGTCTGCCTGATGATATGAGAGGGCGGCACTTGATTACGACAGTTGCTAGGTGCCAGATAATCGTAAAGTGAAAGGATTGCTGAAAATAGAGATGAGCGCATGTTTTAAAGCCATCAACGCTGGCCAACGCTGCGTATGTGTAATGTCTGAAAACATAAACATTGCTGTCGCCCTGCCTAAATAAATTGTAACCACATTGTTTAGTTGAAGTGTGGCTGTGCACAAGTTTTTAACAGATTTCGCTGAATTTTGTTCTGTTTGTATTTAATATTTATTTAATTTTTATGTGAAAAGCAAACGTTGCTGAATTTGTTCGTCAATTAAACAGCTTGAATTAAAAATCGGCTGTAGCTTTGAATTAGAAGAATATCAAAACCATGTTTGACTTCTAAGATTTGTACCCTACATGTGACCTAAAAGTCTTTGAATTCTTCATATGCCACTTACACTTGAAAATACAATTAGTTGTATTAGTTGATTGTATTTAATATTTATTTAATTGCTGGATTTGTTCGTCAATTAAACGGCTTGAATTAAAAATGGGCGGTAGCTTTTAATTTGAAGAATAAGAAAATCAAAGCAAAGTTTTGACTTTTAAGATTTTTACCCTATATGTGTCCTAAAAATCTTTGAATTCTTCATATGCCACGTACAGTAAAATAATGTTGCAAATAGTTGACTATATTTAATTAGTTGTATTAGTTGATTGTATTTAATATTTATTCAATAATTATGTGAAAAGCAAACGTTGCTGAATTTGTTCGTCAATTAAACAGCTTGAATTAGAAATCGGCTGTAGCTTTGAATTTGGAGTATAAGAAAATCAAAGATTTGTACCTTATATGTGTCCTAAAAATCTTCCCATTCTTCATATGCCACTTACAGTAAAGTAAAGTTGAAAATAGTTGACGTGTCGCAAACATTTCTATTGAAGACGTACCTTCATATTTCATAACAAGTGGTAAATTGGAAAAAACACATTTTCTTTACGCATTTCTCTGGCACTTCTCCTTCGGCTGCCATCGGCTTGTTCTGTTCGTTCTGTTAGAGGGAAAAATGTTTGGCAATCATATTTGTGGAAAATGTGCTGCCAGCACTTCATTTATGCAGTCGCCTTGCCGCCATCCTTATCCTTGTTGTTGTAGCTGCTGCTACTGGTACTGCAGTCAATATGTATGAAGAGATTTTTAACAACGTTTCGATTGAAACGTTTGCCAATCTTGTTACAGTTGCTGCTCGCTGCTTTGCACATCCGCCGCTGACAATGACGCACACATTTAGATCGATTTAAATCACACTAGCTCTGCCGTAGTCAGTGTACGAGTGTGTGTATGTATGTGTAGCTGGAACGGAAGCGGAAATTAAATCATGTGCTGCTGTGCTGCTGTGCTGCTGTGCTGGCAGGTGTCCGCTGAGTGAAAAGCAAGCAACACGTTGAAGCAACACTGGCTTCTAAATCAAATCCAACTCTCAACTCAACGACAATCTGCTCAAGTGCAGCCAATGAGCCTGGCTAAGAGCGGGTGGCCACAATGCAAACACACACACATCAGTACACATACAGTTCAAATATTGTCTTCGTCATAACGACTGTCAACTTTCTGTGTTTGATTCCAACATGCACGTCAAATGCAAACCAATTCGCTTATTTGGGGGTTTGCTTGCTTGCTTTCCTCCTACTTTTTTTTCTATTTAGATGATCTTATATATGTATATAGTATATAGTATATATTGGTCTGGCCGGCTTCATCGTCATTGCTCCCATTTTGTTTGCACGCTCTCGACGTTTTCATTTTTGTATTTTTTTTTTGTCGTTTGTTTGTTGTTGGCCAGCCAACCATGTTGATTTTATTTAACTGACATTTTGTGTGGCCTACGTGTGCAAAGTGTGTGTGTAACAGCTTATGATTGTGTGATATATTTATGTCTATATAGTGATGTGCATGTGTGTGTGTGTGACTTGAACACTTTCGGCTCTGTTTGTTTATCAATTGACGACGGCGGCGGCAGCCACTTAATTGAATCGCCAATGCCCAACAGCATTTTGCCCCAATCAGCCAAAATGGCTTTAAGCTGAGATTCCCCGTCAAAGTTTTTATGCAAAACTTTGCAAGCGAACGAACAGATGCTACTGTTTCAGACACACCTATAAATCACAATTTGCAACACGAGCGAGCAGCCAGGCCAGCAGAGCAGAGGGTGAGACCGAGAATTACAGAGGCGAAGGTTCATGCTGTCCGACAGATGATGCACAGTGGTCGATAAGTTGAGATTCCATTTACCATATAGAATGTATAATATTTTGTTCGAATTTTATTCATAAATATTATTCTTGAATCTTTATAAAATAATTCAAATAGAGTTTCTTCAAATAAAATGGCACATTTTCAACTATTCTATATCAGACGCGCTTTAGCTGCCATGAAATAGTTCCTTATAAACCAATGTGAAAAGAAATATAATATCATATATATGTATAGTAGTCCTAGAGTTTTTTGAGTTTATGGTTTGGTTAAGAGGAAATATGGAAACGGAGCTGCGTTTTTTCTGATACCAAAAAGAGTTTTTAACACTATGGGAAAATGTTTTGTTTTTGATAACCAACTCAGTTTCTCTCGATATTGAATATTAAAGCTGCATATTTTAGTAAGAAAAGAGCTGGGTGAACTATGGAATAAAAGGTTATATATTGAAATCAATATTCTTTTTTTAATCTGGTTATCATAGAAAAGTAAAATATCTTTCAGAATGCCTATACATATATAATGAAAAAGCAGAAAGGATGAACAAGTGAAAATTAAAATGGTATTTGGGAATAAATAAAAGGTCGGATTGTTTCTATATTACAAGAGTCTACATCCCGAATTGATCAACATAGGCTCAGCCGTTTTCAAAATCGTGGCGTTCATACTGATAGACGGACAGATGGATGCACGGATGGACATGTCTAGATCAATTTGTCTCTCTAGGAATATTGATGCTTCCTTCTGCCTGTTTAAATAAATTTTCGATTAATTTCTTTTGAACGACATCCCTTTTATTTCTGAAATTTTGGGCCCACTGTGGGCGCTGTTGTTGGTCAGAGAACACGTGCACAGGAAATTCAAGTAACCACAAATGCTGCAAAGTCTGTGTGCACAGTAGGAACTGGCAACACATGTGTGCATGTGTATGTGTGTACTTGTGAGTGTGTTTGAGTAAAACAAACTTGTTAATCAAAAAACAGCTGGCAATGGGATCTGGGCATGTGATTTGAGGCTCGAGACCGGCGGCTCGGGACTTCAGACTTTGGACAGACAGCTGCTTTGGTGGCGACTGTCTGCAAAGTTTTCAAGCAACACGTGCTTCGACATTAAAATTCTAACATCATCATTTGCAGTGCAAACAGAAAACTATATAAACAGACACACTTTGCTTCAGAGCACCAATAAGCTGGATGACAAAACCAATGTTAAACATAAAAACAAACCAGAAAGCTAAGCAGTGACAAATTATAGCAACAAATCGAAAATTAATAAAAAACGTTATTATGCAAGTGCGACAAAGTTTAAAGCGAGCAGTGCAAGAAACGCCAAACAAAATCCAAAGCATTAAACACAACCAGAAAGCACATTTAAAACTAAAAACATTACGACGTCGTTTAGTAAAAGTAACAACAGCAACAACAACAACAACAACAAAATTGAGCGAACAACAAAAGGCAAAAACCATTTACATTCTGCCACACCGGCTTTGTTCAAAGTCTATAAAATTAAGCTCATTAAAACGGAGGGTCTAACATTCGCATTGCTTGCGGGCCCCATGGGCCAAGCGGCAAGTATGTGTCGATTTCGTGGTTGTCGCTACAAAAAGAATAAGAATAGCAATAAAACGCCATCGCATAGCCAAAATAGTGGCAACAGTCCACAACAACAACAACAACAACAGCAGCAGCAATACGACCTGCAGCCAACAACAACAACGACAACAGGTGAGAGTTAATAAAGTTAATTGAGGGCTCTTAAATGATGACATTGAGTGAAAAGTTGTTCAAAATAAATACTTATACTTGTAGATAGAAGTTAAGTGATTTAAAGCGTGCTGGGAAAACGTAAACGTATCTAATTCAAAAATTTCATATTTCAATTAAAGTAGATTTGTTAGCTTGTTAAGCATATTTGTAGACATCTATAAAATAAACCTTTTATTTAAAATCACAATTAAATGGAAATTCAGAAAAATTGTTGATAAAAGGCAAACAAATCGCTGCAAAGCCTACAAATTGCAGCAAAAAGATAGTCATTACATCATCATAAGACTGGAAGTTAAGTGATTTAAAACATGCTGGGAAAACGTATCTAATTAACAAATTTCAAATTTTAATTAAAGTAGGCCATCTGGGCCAGATTTGTTGGCTTATTAAGCATATTTGTAGACATCTATAAAATAAACCTTTTATTTAAAATCACAATTAAATGGAAATTCAAAAAAATTGTTGATAAAAGGCAAACAAATCGCTGCAAAGCCTACAAATTGCAGCAAAAAGATAGTCATTACATCATCACAAGACTCACTGACCCCACGTTAATTATTATTCTATTAAATACAAGACCAACTCATCATCATCATCATCATACTTCGTAATCGCATAGAGGATGACTTAATTTTGTATACAATTTTAAAACTTTGAATTCAATGTTGTAAAAAAACACCCTTCTCTCATAATTCTTTTACAATGTCAGCGAAAAATATAAATGATTGCCATAGAATGTTTGCCAAAAGTATGCTTCCTAATATAAAGTCTTTAAAAAGTCTCTTTTTAAACAAAACTTAAGCGTTCTTCTTCACCATAAACATTCACCTAAACATTCACATTCATTTAATAAATTAAATTAAAATTAATGTTTGTTATTTAGGCATCAATGAAAATTCTCCACAAACTTGCCAATTGGTTATATAAAGAATGGACATCAAGTCGTACTCTTTATTATTATTGTTTGTTTATGTTTAAGTTTAAGTGCCTTAAAGCCTCTAAAAGCCTTTCCTGTGAAAACAAAGCTCTCACTGTTGCCACTTAAGCATTTTAAAGTCATTACATCACAAAACGCAATACAATATTCATGTTATGCATCCAAATAGCCGCCCTGAACAAAGAGAATGGAAAATGTTGTGACAATAAGCGAACAACCCTCCGACTAATTTGCATAAACATTTTGTCGCAATTTACAAATCAAAGACAAAACAAAATGTTGAAATGCCAAACGAATCTTATTCATTTATATCGATCTGTGAATCCTGGCATTTGGTGCATGCGATTATATTTGTATGTGAGCATATGTGTGAGAAGAAAAGAATGTTTTTGAACATTTGCCAAATTTCAATTTACATTTTGATTCAGGAGCAACAACAAAAACACTATGCATATACATATATAATCCGTGTAAAAGAGGAAGAAAAAATGTCTTGGCAATATACTTACCAGCAGAGCTAAAATATTTGCCACATGCAAAGGCACTCTCATTCTCATGTTCTCGTACAAGCTGACGCATGCAACCGCAAAGTTGCAAAGCACAACACGAGGCTGCGGCAACAACAACCACACAACTCGAAGAGCTGTCAACTCGTCATTTGACTTTGGAACATTGCACTGCACACCCACACACACACACACACACTTGAGTGTATGTGTCGACTCGAGACTCGAGAGCGATCCGAAGTTATTTTGCAAAATGTTTTGCATGTGGCATGTGGAAGCTTCAGTCAGGGGTGACGGGTAGGGAATAGGGGCGAAAAGTGCATACATAACGTCATGGGTAAGTGTGTGTATATTTGTGTGTAAATTGCACATAAATTTCAGGGCATTATGTAGCCATGTTTGTGGTTATTGGGACTTATACAGAACAATGAAATAAAAAATATACTTAATATAGACTGCATATTGCAGCAAGGAGATGGAAAAATGTAATGTGTACAAAATTTAAGCATATAAGTAGAAGCTTAGTGCTTGTATTAAAGGCGGGCTTGTTCTAATCCTTAAAGCAAATATGTTCATCATTGAAATGGATGAACAGGATGACAAACAGACTTACCTACATGCACTATTTCCTTCATGATTATGAAGAATATTGGTTGTTTGAAAAATGGAAATAGAAAATGCTGAGACAAATGCGAGTCGCAAGAAAAATAATTTATATTTTGATTGAAATTTGAAGTCCATAATAATTTTGCTTTCTTCACTTTATTTCCTACCAAATTCCACACAACAATTTATGAGATTAAAGCTCCAAAGCCTCAAACACAGTACAGTAGAATATTATATAGAGCCAATACTATAGATATACAAGGAGTATATATATATATATTAATCTATTATAATTTTCTTAATAAAACAAACGAAATTTTCCAATTTTTATAACTTTCTAGTAGTTTTGTGAAACAATTTGTAGCTGACAGCATCGCAAATAATTATCTTTAATAGCAACCATTGTATTTTATAAACACTCTACATTTTGTGGAAGCTTATTAAAAATACAGCCTTGTACCACAATTTAACGAAAATGTAACTCGAATGTAATGTGAAAAAACTGTATCCTAACGATTGAGGACGATAAACGACACACACTATCACACAATATTAATACAAACAACATTTTTTCTCCAAAGTACATAAATATTGTATCATATATAAATGTCAAGTCAATTTATGAAACCAGACTATAAATATTTAGCTTAACATGCCACTTAAAAGTTATATTTAGTGTGAAATTGCTGTTGTAATCCTTGCGATAACAACCAAACAATTCGTTTGTTGTGCGCCAAAAAAATAAAAATCATAAATCAAATTTTTTGCGCCAACTCTATGGCCAGACGCACCCACATAGATATGCTTATACTTGTAGATGTACATATAGACTCGACCTTTGTCAGCCATTCTATATCCGTATGTAGTGTACTTGCAAAAAGTTGTGAAAGAAACATCCATCACGCATGTTTATTTCTATTTTTAGCACTTAATCAGGCGCTCAATGGTGCCATTAGAAACACACACACAAGCGCGCCTTGACACACACGTGACACGAAGGGCCAATAACTCACGGAAATTGGCAATATTTCCGGTTAATGTTGAGCTACACGCCATTTTAAGGTTCTCTCTTGCAGCGCCTTTTACTTTAAATGTCATTGTAATTTATGGCTTTGTCTGCACTCAGCACCATGCTACAATTTGTCTCTATCGCTTCACTCCCCCCTACCCCGCTCCACTGGAATCCTCTCCTCCCCCTCTTCCGAGATGAAATGAAATGCAGAAATGCAGGCTGAGTGTGGGCAAAACTTTTTTGGAAGTCGTCGTTAAGGCAGTCGCTACTTAATTGCCACACAAACATGACGATGTGGGCCACATTTTCAAATTGATGAGCTGGAAAAACAATTTGGTGGCAAATTTATGTGAGTGCCGGGCACTTTCCGAAATGCCCCAAAATTGAAAAGTTAAACCAGACGTACTGCCATCACGACGATGAGGACGAACGCGGTGCTCATCTTTTATGATTATTTTGCAATTTAAATATGACAAGAGTTGGTTGTTGTTGTTGTTGTTGGCTTGTGTAGCGTGCGTGACTTGACGCTGTGAAGTGTGCAAAAGAATGGGTTATACAATAAGATAAGTGCGAGGGCTGTTTCCTGAGTATGGCCGACAGCTTAAAACTAAGGATTAACACCTCCTTAGGCCTTCAATTAATTTAAACAATTATTTGTGAGTTGTCTGGCAAAGTTAAATAAGTCCTTATGTAGGACATGTTTTCATTTGGGCTTAAAATCTCTTTCGAAAGTTCGAACTTTTGAGCCTAGTCGAAACTTAGTCTTGAACCCAACTTAAAGGTGCGATCGTTGCAAATAATCAATATGTATGTTCACAGACAAATGTGAATAAAAATAATGTATCTTGACCATACATACTACACTGTCAGAAAAAGCCATTCAGTTTTGATGGGATGTTCTGAATATTCTTCCAAAATACGAACTAATTATGAGAAAAGCGCTGAAATTTAAATAAACGCTCATCCATAGGATGGATTGCAAAGATAAGCTGCTCAGTCGTTTTGCTAAACATCTCTGTTCTTCACTGAGTCACAACTCTTTTCTGTAAAGAAAGAAGTAAACAAATGTATATATTTAAAGCTAAAAAAAATAGTCTCATATTACAATTACTTCCTATCCCCACCTCGTGCCGCATATCGATAGTCATTTGCATTGCAAATGATACGGAATTGAAGGCAATTGTTTGAATAATAAAATGGTTAAGCTTGTCACATTACATGCATTATCATATTTGTTGATTTTATTGAATTTTCCTTATCCTTGCAGGTCTGCACTTGCGCAGCATTGAAGAGCCCGCCTCCACGCCGCTCCAGCTTGCTTCGAGAATGCCCGCGGAGCAGGGGGGCACAGGGTACGTGAATGAGCACAGTTTACTGATTGCACAACGGACCGGTGTCCCCCTGCCTCTGTCGCCGCACGCCAATTACCCGCACAGCATTAGCAACAACAACAACAACAACAATAGCCACACAGCTGCATATGCAACATCAGCATCATCAGCAGCAACAACAACAGCCACCCACCACCAGCAGCAGCAATCACAACAGCAATCACTGCAACATTATCAATATCAGCAGCAACAACAGCATCAACATCAACATCAACACCAACACCAATATCAACAAGCATCGCCACAACACAGACCCTACGATCCAGAGCATGCTCGCATGGAGGCCTGGCTGGATGAGAATCAGGAATTTGTACAGGATTATTTTATAAGGTGAGCGAGCAGCGATTGTGTGCCAGTTGAGTGTTTGAATCGAGACTATGGGATTAGAAAATGGGAAGAAGAAAAATTGCTGCTGATAAATTTCTCTTCATTTTTCTTAGATCAGCATTTATCAAATCAAGTATTTATGCGCTTCTAACTAACTAAATAATGTGTTTAGTTTTCACATATTGAAGTGTTTTTTTTTCCTGTGAATAGAGATCAAATCATCGAGATTCCTTGCTCATTGTTTCATTTAATTAACATGTGAGAAGGAAATGTGGATAGCTTGTGAGTTTTTCACTGTCTTACAAAGTTACTTAATTTAATTAAAAAACTCAGAAATAATGCTTCAATATAATGGAAATTTAATGAAATAAAGTGTTTGTTCAGAGCTTTTTTCCATTCTTAATTTCTGTCAAACTAAAAATAAAAATTAAATAAATTTTAATCGGAACTATTTAAGTTCAAGCGCACAAAAATAGAGATCAGGGCAGCACAAAATGACGCAATCAAATAAATTGTAAAAACTTTCAGTTTGAATATTTAATTTGTTATCCTTTAGTATCTGAGTATCCAGAGTATGTGGCATAATTTAAATTAATAGAAAGACTTAGTAGATTTGTCCTTCTGCAATATAAAGCTATTCAGTTAGATAGAAGGTTGTAATTGAAGCACGATTGCGTATTTGAAAGTTCTTCCACAGCTGATGACAAACAAACTTAAAGAATCTTTCGAACTCCAGCAGCTGAAGGTTTTCAGCTGAACAATTTTAACTTATGACGACACTTCAATCAAGCATAGCTGATGAAGCTGCTTGTAAACAAGTCTCAATCAATTTATTAAATTTAAACTCGCAGCAACACGAAGTTATTATTTAAAAGAATAAAGTCAAGAAATGAACTCATGACATGCCGTTTCCCAAACGACAAACTCCGCAAGGACCTCTTTATTGTGCAACGCCATATTTACATATGCACGGCTATATACTCGTGTACAATAATATATGTAAAAAGTCATGCTGCGACAGCGACTGAATGTTCGTATCCGTTATAAAGCGGAAATTGTCTTTCATGGCTACAGGAGGCGCACAGCAAACGCACAGCATGACGCTATGGCAACAGAAACAAACACACACACACACACGCATAGATGCTCCACAGATACAGACAGACAGTCAGACAGTCAGACGTACGGACAAATAGATGGAGTGGGGGAGAAGCAGCCTTCGCAACAGACTCGAATGCCTGGCTTGGCCCCAATGCTGTGACACATAATAAAAATCACTAACAACTAAAAACATAAATTGGGCTTTATTTTCATGGCAACCGCCAAAATGCCGGCCGGCACAGTCAGGGGCTTCCCCACAACTCGAACCCAGCCGAGCTCAACTAGCCGACAGACGCGTCGGCCGACTGCTATTAAACGACGCAGAAAAAGGCTTCAGTTTTGTTTGCACTCGTACTTTGCATAAGAATGTGGCCTGGCACATGTTTCCTGGCAGCTACTGCTGCTGTCGTTGTTCTGTTGTTGTTGTTGTTGTTGTTGTTTTTGTTGTTGGACAACATTTAGTCGCTTGGTCCCAAACTCTATAATTCTCGTTAGCTTTCTCTCTGCAAAGCGTTGTGTGTGTGTATGGGTGTGTGCTGTGATTTTTATGCCGCTAGCGCGTGTTCATAAGGACACATGCTGTTGAAACTGCTGGAGATGTTGTTGGAGCTGTTGGCGCTTTTGGCCGTGACTGGCTCTCGTTGAATATTTATGAGCTGGCATTTTATTAGACAATTTTATGTACCACATGCATATAAAGCGCCCTGTCATGTTTGTCGTGTGTCCAATATGAATTTGCTGCGGCATTTGGCGTTTGGTTTTTTGTGATTTTTTAATACGCCAAACGTTGGTCGTAGTTGTAGCCACGAACGCAGCCGGTTTCCCACAACACCCAGAAGCCACAGGCACACTGTGTCAAAGCTACTTGTATATGAATAGGTCATGTGCTAAAACAAAAGCTTAAGCAGTTGAAGAAGCTGGTTTTTTGAGGAATCATAACTTTTTAAAAATATTTATATCTACTATATCCATCGAATATAAATATTTCGATTCTTAAACAACATTTTCTAGAAATATTTCTGTTAGTCTAGACTCTAGCGCACTGTGCTTGACTTATCGTGTGCATATTATTGGTTGTGAGTGTGTGTGAGTGTGTGTGTGTGTGTTTGTGTTTGAGTTGTTGCTATAAAAATTGAAGCTTAAGGCCTTAAACATGCACACTAATGAAAAATGCTGTTTGCAGGAAAGCAACACGTCAAACAGTGGACGCCTGGCTGGTCTCGCATGCCACCTCGGCTGGCAACGATGTCGTCAGCAGCAACTCGCCCACACATGCCGCAAATGGACAGGCGTGCTCATCACGTGGCGGCTCTGGCGCCACGACGCCAGTGCGGTAAGTTGATGGGTCCTTGATGGATGCGCTAATTGCAAATCCGAAAATCATCTAACATTATTACGCTTTACTGCCACAGCAAAATCTCGGCACACGAGTTCGAGCGCGGCGGCCTCCTGAAGCCCATCGTCAATACCATAGATGGCACGCCCACTTTTCTCAGCATCGGTCCCCAGCTGGACAGCTGTGGCTCTGGCGGTGTAGGAAGTATCAGCGGCAGCTGCTCCAATCAGCAGAGTGGCGTTGGCGGCCAGCATCAGTATCATGTGCAACAGCCCCACCATCATCAGCACAGTCATTATCAGGCGGGAGGGGCTGTGGGCAGCAGCAGCAGCGGAAGCGTCGGCAACTCCCATCATCAATATCAATATCATCATTACAGTTGTCATCAGAGACCGCAGCGACTGTCGCGCAACGAGCTCAAGCTGCTGGATGAGAAAGAGCTCATTTTTGAATTGGTGAGTGAAAGGGTTCAATTGGAACCGGATATTAAGTGGAATTTCCGGTATGAATGTACAAATTGAAAAAGGATATGGATTGTGGAAAAGTGTTTCTCGGAAATGTACAATTTCTGTAAAAAGAAAATGAAAAGGAGAGCTGCGTAAAGACAAAAAAGTTATGGGGAAAGTGCCATTTCCATTACACATGCAATTTGATTAACAATAATTACGCTTTTGAAGAAAATCAGGTAAAGGGAAAGTGGAATGTAGAAATAAATTAAAAAAGAATAGAACAGTTGTATATTCAATAGCAAGGATAAATGTAGGTGTGGAAGCAATTCTATGGCTTTTGAGGAAATGAACAGATCATCTGTAAGGCAAAAAATTAAAGACATACAAGTATTTGTACTTTTGATATCAAATAAAGCACAGCTAAGAACTTTCTTTCAAATTTATTTTCTAATTTGTTAATAAAATGGATTTCTTAATGAAATTTTGAAGTACCTTTGTTCTTAACATTACATTCCTTTTCAAAACTTAAAACCCAGCTTAGATTGTTTGCAGTTTCGAATAAAGATTACCAGAAACTGCTTTCCCACTTGCTTCCGTCCAATACTTGCTCTCCTATTTGTTATCTTTTGCCGATTATTATATATCAAGGCAATCGAACAGCTATTTTGTTGGCCAACTGAGAGCGTCTCAATTTTGACAAACGCAACAAACGCTTTGGCTTAGTAAGGAATACAAAAACTGTCTGACGAAGGTTAGGAATATACAACATTTGCATTTCTCTCTGACTCGTTAATGCTTATATACAAATGTATTTTGAATATGGAATGCAATGTATTATTTAGGCCGCTCCAGTACCCGTTGAATAATTGAGCAGAATTCCTCAAAAAGGCACGATACGTGTCGAAACGCATAGAAAAAAACACGTTAAACAATATTTATTTTTTTTTTACCGCATTTTCTAGCCCTACGCATGATTTCCTAATCTTTAAAGACGATCGCTTGATTAGCTTTCAGCTTGGCAGCATACACAGTTTACTTTCCGGTATATTGTGGAAATTATATCATCATTTATTCATCATATTTCGCCACTATAGTGGTCAGTATAGTACTTCCACCTAAAATGCGTCATGCGGTCAATAGTACAGAATATTTTTATTAGTTGCCTTTATATATTTTTCTTTGAATTTGATTTGTTCACTCGAATTGTAATTGAAATTTTGTGGCAGCGATTGCAACGTTTTATTTATAAACATTACTGCACGGCCGACGTATGCAATTTTCAATTGCTTTTTCCACACCCACATACATACTCGTACCTATGTACAAGTATGTATGTGTGTGCGAATATCTGCCCTCATGAGTGTGTTATTGGGTGCCAGCCTATTTGGAATGCCGCTGACGTTGTTATCAGCACACAGTTAAGTGACAAGGCACTTGCGGCGACAAATTGTGTCATTATTAAAAATAGTTTCACTGGAAACGTGTGCGAAGCGGGCCGCCTTAAGTTGCCTTTATGTCTGCTGATTTCAAAGGCACTCGACACTCAAGAAACGCACTCAAAGTATTGCTTTTAATGCCACAATAGATACTTTAAACGCTAGAAGGGGACTACCATGTTCAAATAAAGCCCATTTCAATCCGATTGCATTTAATTGAATTCGCAATGAGGGAATCGATGCTATCTGCATTTGCTATTACATTTCCAAACCGATGACTTTAATGGGACATGTTTAATTTTGTTCTCTCTCCCTCACTGCTCGCTGCCTGCTGTGGCTGGCAATTAGGTAAAGGATATATGCAATGAACTGGAAGTGCGCACATTATGCCATAAAATTCTGCAAAATGTGTCCATTTTATTGAACGCGGATCGTGGCTCATTATTTTTGGTGCAAGGACGCTGCAATGGCGCTGATGGCCTGAAAAAGTGAGTATATAAGAAATTTTTTATTTACGAATATATAGATTTTTTCTATTCAAGTTGAAAGTGAAAAAATATATATAAAACAAGCCACTAATATGCATAAATATAAATTAATAATGAATTATAAATTAAGTTCTGGGATTAGTTAAAAAAACTACCCATTGCCAATGAAATCCATAAAAATGGTAAAAGAATGGTAAAAAAAAATTGTGAAGAAGAAATGTGTGCCCAATAGCTTCAATAATATTAAAAAATCGGGTAAATAACGTTAGAAAAAAGTATTTGCTTTTAAAAACTTAACCTTAAATAAAGTAGGAGGCGGCCAAAGAATTAGTTTTAGAAAAAAATATTTGCTTTTAAAAACTTAAACTTAAATAAAGAAGGAGGCCAAAGAATTAGTTAAGAAAAAAATATTTGCTATTATAAGCTTAAACTTAAATAGAAAAGGAGGCCAAAGAATTAGTTTTAGAAAAAAATATTTTCTTTTAAAAACTTAAACTTAAATAAAGAAGGAAGCCAAAGAATTAGTTTAGAAAAAAAATATTTGCTATTAAAAGCTTAAACTTAAATAGAAAAGGATGCCAAAGAATTAGTTTTAGATACAAATATTTCTTATTAAAAACTTAAACTTAAATAGAAAAGAATTCCAAAGAAGTAGTTTTAGTTGCTTTTAAGTTAAACTGCAATCAAATCTTTGCACAATTTGACTTTTTTACGAACACTTTTGACACTATATAATAAATAAATGTTATTAAACAGTTTTTGTGAATTCTTTAATAAAATTCATTCACACTATTGGTTCATTCCAAACTTCAGAACCAAAATGTCAAATTATTTGCTATAAAAACAAAGTCTTATCCTTCAAAAACCCTATATGAGACATCATAATTTAATTGAATGATTAAGATATTTAATTACATTTAAAGGTATTTTCTTTCGGGAATTTCTTTTCGAAACCAATTTATATCTCCAAGGCAGCCCTAATCTAGAGTCGTACTCGATTTTTCGTTACTATTTAAAGCAATTGAGTATCCAGCAAAAAATTTATTTACTCACATCTGTTGCTCATGTGCTCGTCACTGGTGTTGGGAAATTTGGCCAAAGTCATAAATAAGAATGCATCAAATTGTGTTTGGCAGAATATTTATGGCCTTTGCATGTCTAGAAGCAATTTTTATTCTTCTCTCCTTGCGTTATTAATCAATTGATACTTTGAAATATGTACTCGACTGCTCTGTTCGAACTGTGTGCGTGTGCCATAACTCAAGACTCAGGCCAATTCAATTACCGAGTAATCCAGCACCCGAGCACCCCCACCGATGATGACTTCATCGTCAGTGGCACATTTTTACTGCACTCGCGTTTCAACTTTGTTTCAGCTAGCATTTTTATAGCATTTATATTTTTGGTATTTTATGTTCGCAATTGCAATTTGGCACACAAACTCGCAGACACACACAAACACACACACACACACGGGCGAACACTTTTGTCATTTTATGTGCAACGTCTGACGCCATTTTGTTGCAATCTCTCCAAATTGCCGGGCGCTAATTGCAATGTGTGCCCGCGCGAAGTTCAGCTGAGCTGAGTTGAGTTGAAAATTGGCAAAAGGCGAAACATTTATTGCAAAAAGTTATAAACATTCTGTGTGTGTGTGTGTGTGTGTGTGTGTATGGGGACATTGGCAAACAGGAAGTTGCAGCACAATTTATAATCCTTGCACACAGCTTTGATGTCTGTCGCTCACTCGAACTGTTTCATTATCCTTCTGCTTCTCTCTCCCTCTCTCTCTCTCTCTCTCCCTCACTCTGCAGATGTCTCGTCTCGAAGCTCTTCGATGTCTGTCCACGCAGCACAGTCGAGGAAATGGAACAGCAGGAGGAAGTGCGCGTCGCATGGGGCACAGGCATTGCCGGCCATGTGGCGGAGAGTGGAGAGCCCGTCAATATACCGGACGCTTACCAGGTTAGTAGTCGAAAGTTTTGCATTCTTCATTTTTCATCCGCCATTTGACAAATTTGAATGTCATTGGTACAAGAAGTACGAGTTTATTTGGAAAGTGCATCATAAATCATACGGCTGGCTAGTGGGGCCCCGGCACTTCAAACTGTAGTGCCATATAGATTTGTGTGTGTGGCAAGATTTATGGTATTTCATTAAGCAACTAAGCAGCAGAAAAAATGTGCAGTCGAACCTTGTACTCGTAATGCCAAACTGTTACACGAAATACAAGTGCAGCAGACATAGAATTTCTATATTAAAATATTAAGTTTTCCATTTTATAAAGTCAAGAGCAAGCTGTAAAATAAATAGAATGATTAGTCTAACTTTAATAACTAATTTGCTTCGAAATCAGCATTATTTACAATTTGTATTCTATTTAAAGCAAATACAAGTTAAGTTACAAAAAATGTTCCGCACCATGAATAAGTTTATAGAAGAAATGAATTGCGTTAGAACTTACTTTAATTTTTAACTGCACGCTGAACCATAATAATTTAAACAGTCTACTGGATAAATCATTTTACTTTACTTTAATTCTAAACTGAAGGCTCAACAATAATAATTTAAGCCGTCTATTGGATAAATCTTCTTTTTTTTTACTTTACTTTAATTCTAAACTGAAGGCTCAACAATAATAATTGAAGCCGTCTATTGGATAAATCATTTTCCCTACATAAATTAACTATTTATCCAGCTTTTTCATTATTGAGACGCTTAGATAAATTGCTTGTCGGAGTTTCCAACCGAAGTGGCGCCAAAAAGCATGCTTTAGTTTCGCAAATACCAATTTTTTCGCCCATATTTTCGTCCTTGATGGCCATTTTTCTTAGTGCTGCCAATTGGGCTGTAATTAATCTGAAACCGGCCAACAGAGAAAAGAGTGGAAATATGTGAAAAAATGTGGCACATAAATAAGTCAAAGGATACTTGTAGCTGACGAAAGTGGGGTCAAGCACTCAAATTGTTTGCCACTCCAGTGACGCAGAAACTGGTACATGTAATCCAGTTTTTAGTGTTGACTGTTCAATCGGAATAGAAAACAATAGAAAGCAGCTTAAAGCCACTGTCAAACAATAATAATGCGTGTTTCTTTTTGTTGGCAAACACGCAGAGACGGCAGCACGACAGTCTAAGCGTGCGCTATTGTTTGTCTATTAGCTGCCGCCAAAGGCCAACTTAAGCCCAAACTTGTCAGATAACTCTGAACAAATATATAGAATGCTTCTGTGACGCAAGAGTGACGCACTGCTTTCCCATTTTACTCTCAGTATCGCTCTTTATCTCAAGTTGGCCAACTGCTCTCTGCCTCAATATTTTCTGTTGACCAACAGCACAGCGTTAACACAATTAAGAACAGTAAGAAAAAAGCAGTTTAGCGCGCAAAAAACTTGCAGGTATAGTCGAATACTACTAACGAGTATCACGATTAGATTCTTTGCCCACAAAAGACATTGTTGAAGGTTCAAGTTGACTGCATGAGGTGTCATATGGTTGATTGACACTGTAAGTGGGTGGGCTTTAGAGCTCTTTTCTTCGCTCTCAAATCAAGCGTTCAAATATAAGGTTTGGCTAATGTTAGCAGCTCCACAAAGGCCGAGAGATAAGTGCTTTGTACTGTGTCAGTTACGTAAGTGTGAGAAAATACAAGAATGTTCTAAATGGAGCGTCTGCTTAGCTTGAATGCATATTTAAAGCCACTAGTTTAAGCACGATTTTAAAGAAAGAAAAAAACCAGAGTTAGCTTTGCTTGAAAAAATGTTTAGCTTATAAGCAGCATTGTTGAAGAATGAGCGTCAGATTATTCCTATTAAGTTATTTCCCCCGCAACTGGCATACAAAACAGCTAAAGATCAGGCAACTATGATGATACTTTTTGCAATCTTTAAAGTCTAGATAATAGACTGATTTATGAGATCTAAACAAGCTATTTAATGTAAATATTTTTCGGGTTGAATTCACGCCTCATTGGAATTTTTTTTTAATTTTTTAAACATTTTTCCAATTATTTGAATACATAAATGTAAAATACTCTCCTATAACTCTTTCTTTGCTTTTTCCTATTTTTAACGCTCACAGGATGAACGCTTTAATTGTGAAATCGATTCGTTGACCGGCTATCGGACAAAGGCCCTTCTCTGTATGCCCATTAAGGATTCAGCGGGTGACGTCATTGGTGTGGCGCAGGTCATCAATAAAATGAATGGCGAGTGCTTTTCTGAAATCGATGAAAAGGTGAGTGTGCGGTTCGTTCTGCTTAATTGCATAAGCCAGAAAGCGACAGAAAAGACTGCCAAACGCTTTAAAGTATGCAACAAAATTGTAATGTACAGAATTGAAAAGTACGGCAACATTGGAAATTTAAAAATCACTCTAGAAATTTTAAAGCATATATTTAAAGCGCGTAACAAACGAAATTATAGTTATAGGTAAAGCTTTGAAATAAACTAGTTAATTTATTTTAATTTATTTACATTTTTAATCTAGTTTTATTCATAAAATCAAAAAATCTCTTCAATAATTTGCAGGTCTTTGCATCGTATTTGCAATTCTGCGGCATTGGACTGCGAAATGCGCAACTCTATGAGAAATCTCAGCTGGAGATCAAGCGGAATCAGGTGCTGCTAGATCTGGCACGCATGATATTCGAGGAGCAGAGCACCATCGAGCACATGGTCTTCCGCATCCTCACCCACATGCAGAGTCTCATTCAGTGCCAGCGCGTGCAGATCCTGTTGGTGCACGAGGCGGACAAGGGCAGCTTTTCGCGCGTCTTCGACTTCGAGGCGAACGATCTGAGCGAGGAGGACTCTACGTCGCGCACCAGTCCCTACGAATCGAGATTCCCCATCAATATTGGCATCACGGGTCATGTGGCAACCACCGGCGAGACTGTGAACATACCAAATGCCTATGAGGATGATCGCTTCGATGCCAGTGTCGACGAGAGTCTGACATTCAAGCATCGCTCCATACTCTGCATGGCCATTAAGAACTCCCTGGGCCAAATCATAGGCGTCATACAGCTCATTAATAAGTTCAATGATCTGGTAAGTAACTGTGTAATGTATTCTTAGGTGAATAATTGATAATGTTCCCCAAAATGTGCGCAGGACTTTACCAAAAACGATGAGAACTTTGTGGAGGCATTCGCCATTTTCTGCGGCATGGGCATTCACAACACACACATGTACGAGAAGGCCATTGTGGCCATGGCCAAGCAGAGTGTAACTTTGGAGGTGTTGAGCTATCATGCCTCGGCCACCATGGATGAGGCGCATCGCCTACGCGTAAGTCATAATTTATGAGCAATCGATGCTCCCCTTTTGGGAATGGATGGGAAGGGAGGGGCAGGGAGGGGAGGGGAGGGAGGGGAAGCAAAAGTTAAACGCTGAATGCCGCACTCCATTTGCTTCTCCACTGCCTGTCTAACTGTGGTCGTAATGGCTTTGGTCTGTTTACTAATTTTTATGCTCCTTCATAAATTTATGCTCTACTCTGTTGCGTCTTCTGGACTCCTTTTGGGCCACAGCATTTTATTGTTTTTACGTGACAGCCTCAGGGCAACCTGCCAACGTGTTGACAGTTGTAATTAGTTTGTTCGCACAAGTGTGGGTGTGCGGACAAAGGAAAAGTTTCTCTGCCACACAACCATTAGGAGACAAACAGTATACGAATTGTAAGCCGGCAGTTTAAGCATCTTCATGTCCCTGACCAAGCAACAGATTTGAAGCATTTGCTTTGTTCGCCAACTTTTTGTATCTCTCCCTCTCTCTCCTTTCTCCTTTTGCTGTTTGTGTTTGTGTCGCTTTGTTGTTGTTGGCCTGCAGCCGACGCCCGACACTTTCTGTAATTATGCTGAGAAAATTATGACCGCCCTGTCGACTTGTCAGCGCAAATGACACAGACATAGCCAGAGACAGAAAAGCAGAAACGGAGACACAGCTAGCTACAGACGCTGGTTATTAATTTTAATTAAAATTATGTCGTAATACGCGACGCTTCACTTTATTCTCTGCTCTGCTCCTTCGGGCAATAAAATACGAGCAGATAGTAGTAAGTGAGCTGCAAAGCAAAAGTTTCGCTTAAACTGTCATAATTGTTAATCTACTTTTGCAGCTGCTCCTAATAAGGCTAAAGTTTATTTTAACCAACAGCTGATTTGCCTTTAAGCGCACTCTAATATCACACGTCTGGGACTTGTGACTTGAAGGGCATTACTCTTTGTTGATCTTTTAGCAGGCAGCGAGTTTATAAGCAAATGATGAAATATTATTGTTAGTCTCTACTCTTGGCCAGCCACTCAACTAATTCTATTTCAAGAAATTAAATTATTATTATAGCTGTATTTAGTTGTTCTTTCCACCGCTTTTGTTTACTTGAATTGCATATTTTTGTAGCAGAAAAAGTTTATTATTTGAAATTAGACTCATTTTCAAGAAAAAGCAGGACTCACAATTTCAATATTTGTAAAACTTTTCAATTATGATTTATGAAGTATTTGAAGAAAATGATAAATTATTTATATGTAGAATGGGCCTTCTATAAGAATCTTAGCTCTCTACGACTTCTGATATTATCGGCGCATATCACATTATGTTAGGATGATCTTATAATTATATATAGCAATTACTCTGATACTTTTGAGGCGGCCAGCGTGATAAATAAGCAGTTGATCACTAACCAGTTTAATATTCTGCTTATATTCATCTGGGAAAGGGTAATTTCTTTGCCTCATCTTACAATATCATATCAACATCGGATGTATAGCAATGGACTTTATTAAAATAATTTGATTTACTTAGAATAGATAATTCTCTTTTATAGAATTGTTGTTTCGAACATGTTTAAGTTAGAAAAGGCTTCGATGATTTGTACTTAAAGTATTGTAGCTACTTGCTTAACAATTTAAGATACTTTCAGAAAGCATTCAAGTCTCGCCAGGTAGAGCTATATAATTATCAAAAGAATTTTCTCATTTGTAATTGTGACACGTTTGTACATGTTCTCTATTATAGAATTGCTTAATCATTTGAAATGGTTTTCAAGTGTCACCAGAAGAGCTCTAATATAAATTTATCATAACTATAAATGCACATCAGAGTATTTATTGTAAATATTTCTATTATTTATTATGGAAAATGTCTTTTATCATAAATGTCATCCAGAATTTAATTATAATTACTTGAGTTAGTTCATATATTCTTTAAGTTGAAATAATCTTGTTTCATCCTTTCAAACACATTCAAAATAGGTTTTTTTATGCAGAGCTCTAATATGATGTGAATTTAATTCATTTTGTAAAGGTTATTCTATTCTATAGAAATAAATCATCTTTGTTAATCATTTCAAACCATTTCAGCTTAAAGTAATTTTAGACTGTCACATGGACAGCTCCAATATTTATATCCAATTCATTACCATTATCTTTACAGCGCCTGCGTGTGCCGTCAGCTGTGCATTTCCGCTTGCACGACTTCAAGTTCGATGACATACACTTCGAGGACGATGACACGCTGAAGGTAGGCTCTCTAACTAACAAATCTTGCTCAGTTATACATTTGTACATTTTTTCTTCAGGCCTGTCTGCGCATGTTTTTGGATCTCGACTTTGTGGAACGTTTTCACATTGACTACGAAGTGCTCTGCCGTTGGCTGCTGAGCGTCAAGAAGAACTATCGTAACGTCACGTATCACAATTGGCGTCACGCCTTCAACGTGGCACAAATGATGTTTGCCATACTGACGGTGTGTAAACGCATCAATCCCTAAATCGAAACGAACCTAAACCTTAATTGCTCTTGAATTTTGTAGACCACGCAATGGTGGAAGATCTTTGGTGAGATTGAATGCCTGGCGCTCATTATTGGTTGCCTGTGTCATGATCTCGATCATCGGGGGACGAATAATTCCTTTCAAATCAAGTGGGTAGCATTAGCTTCTAAAATTATTAGACTATTACTTACTCAGGCATCTTATTTTCTGTAGAGCCTCCTCCCCGCTGGCTCAGCTATACTCCACATCCACCATGGAGCATCATCACTTCGATCAGTGCTTGATGATACTGAATAGTCCTGGCAACCAGATATTGGCAAACCTCTCATCGGACGACTATTATCGTGTCATTCGTGTCCTGGAGGATGCCATTCTGTCCACAGACTTGGCGGTCTATTTCAAGTGAGTGTACAGCCATTTGTGAAAAAATATCTGATATAACTGAAGATCCTCTAATCCGAACAGCAAACGCGGAGCCTTTTTGAAGAGCGTGAGCGAACCCCTAAGCCATTGGGTGGATGAGGAGCCGCGTGCCCTTTTGCGCGCCATGAGTATGACTGTCTGTGATTTGTCGGCCATCACCAAGCCCTGGGAGATTGAGAAGCGTGTGGCCGATTTGGTTAGTTCGGAGTTCTTCGAGCAGGGTGATATGGAGAAGCAGGAGCTGAACATAACGCCAATTGTAAGTGCTTCCTTTTCTAAGAAATTCCACAAATTTTAACCCTCATTTGAGTAAAGCCTAACTTAACTTTGCAAGAGGAAGGGGAAACCGTAGGATCATTTTATTTGTCTTCAAATCTATAGTCTTATTAATTCATACATTTTTCCTTAACTCCTCTGCAGGATATCATGAATCGCGAAAAGGAGGATGAGCTGCCCATGATGCAAGTGAACTTTATCGATTCAATCTGTTTGCCCATCTATGAGGTAACTAAATGAAATTCCAATAAAATCTTAGAGATACTATTTAATGGACACCAATTCTAGGCCTTTGCCACACTCTCCGATAAACTGGAGCCGCTCGTGGAGGGCGTGCGCGATAATCGCGATCATTGGATTGAATTGGCCGACGATGTGAAAACCAAAACTAGTCAAGGTGAGGAGCAGACGCAGCAAATTGTGATAGCAAATGGTGACAAGGCCATGAGGGAGGACGCGGTTAGTGCTGATGATGATGATGATGATGGTGATGATGAGGAGGCGGTCAGAGCGACAGCCGAGCAGCCGGTAGCCGAGGAAGCAAGCGTAAATGGCCTGAATGTAGGAAAGAGCAACTGCGCAACTATTAACAACGATCTTGACGTCGCTTCTCCTCCCAGCAGCAAACGTCAGAGTCGGGCGGCCAGTGAAGACAGCAACGAGCAGCAGGACGAGGCGCAGCAGGAGGCGCAGCAGGAGGCGGACGATGACGGAGATGTGAACGGGCTGAGCACGGAAAATGGACACGTCTCCGATACGGAGCTAACAGCTACACATTCCAACAGCTGTTCCTCATTGGCATCCTCAACAACCGCCTCCAGTCGACTGTCCACGCCGCCGCCCACCGGCGAGGATGACAGCACACCCGCCTCACCCTCCAAGACGTTGCAGCCCACGCTCATAGCTGCAAACTTGGAAGCGCTATCCATGCCGGCGTCCAAAGCGACGCGCTGCAGGAGCTGTGAGCAGACGCGGAGCGGGCTGCAGGTCCGCAAGACCAGTTCGCTGAAGGGAGCCCATGAGTTGCAGTCCGAGGGCAGGCGGGGCAACGGACCCGCCAACTTGTGCAAAAGCACGCCCGCCATTGCACAGCAGCCGCAGCACCAGCAGCTGAATCATCACCACAACCACCACCAGCACAGTCATAGCCATCACCACCAACATCATCATCATCACCAGCATCAGCATCAGCACCATCATCATCATCCACATCAGCAGCATGGCGGTGGCGGTGGCATTGGCAGCGCCAGCATTGGCGGCAGCGGCCTTATTGGTCTCACCAATCCGCTCCTCAATGCGGCCGCCCTGCCCGAAAGTGATAAAATACCAAAAATTGTTGGCAAACTTGGAAATCTCGATGCGCTGCCCTTCAATGCGGTCTGCGCCAATGGCTTTGGCGTCTACACATCCAACTATATGCAGCAACAGCAACAACAACAACAACTTCATCATCATCACCACAACCATCACCATTTGCTGGGGCGTCGCCACTCGGAGACCACCGGCAATGGACCCACGGCGCTGGCGGCAGAGAAATAAATGTCTAGCCGTATATTTCAAACTGTATATAAGTAGGCATCTAATTCACCATTAACTGTCGATTCTGTCGAATCGTAGAATTGAATTTAAAGTAAATCGAGAGTTTGTCAAACTTAATAAGCAAAGCAAGCGACCCTTCCTCCTCATCCGTCACACCACACTTGTACATAACATTTCTTTTCTAATGATTGTCAATAAACAATATACAGTAGAAGCAAAAATCCGTAAAGCATACCATTAAGCGAATTGTTTGCACAACAATTTCACTTTTAAATGAAAATGAAAAAATATAAAGATTCCTATAACTATGTACTTGTACTGTACTCGTATATAGCACAACTTTTTGCTGTAATTTCAATTTTAGCTCATATGTATGTTCGTATATCTGTATGTTTATATATACGTGTATGTGAGTAGCGTGCATTAATGTTAGACTTAACGAATATCTGCATATACATATATATATATATATATATATATAAATGGTATATAGAATACACATTCGTGTAACACGATAGCAAGCAAAGAAGTCAAATTCTCTAGATATTTAAGCACAAAGTGTACCAAAAAAAAACAAAACAAAAAGGCAGAATAGAATACAATTACTCTTTGCTGTCATTATCGTCCTCTGCAACACTTGGTCGTTTACTAGAATGTAGCGCTCAATGCACCCAAAATAAATGCGAAAAGTATTCTATTTCCAAGCATATTAAATACAAGTATATCTATATAGATGTAAACGTTAGTCGAAATTATTCGATGGGTACCAAAAGTTTGACTGTAATGAGCCTAGAAAGCGTGCGAGCCAGCGAGCGAGTAACCAACCAATTAGTGATGTTTCTAACTTAAGTCGAGAGTCGCGTTAGAGTGTAACGGTAAACCTTTAAGCTTATTGCAAGCATTAGTTGTTAATCTAAAAGTAAAGCAGAAGTTAAAGCAAAACAAGAACCCAAAGCGCTTTGTATTTGTTCGGTGCGCTCTTTTCGAATTTAAATAAATATAAAGTCTACTCTAATATACTGCATATACTACAAAGATAAAGATAACTATAAATATAAAATATGTATGCATATATGTATGTATATATATGTGTGTATATGCAACATTATGTCGAAAAGCAAATTATTAAACAATTAAATGGTTGAAAACAAGGTACGGAAGTAGATCGATCGACGTGCATATATAGACAAATAATACATATGTATAGCAAATCGTACTTTGTGAGTTTTGTTATTTATTGTCAAAGTGTAGCCTAGACGGCATTATAGAGAAAAATAAACTCCACACACACACACACACACAAACACAAACTATTTGCTGTAATAGAACCACGTTCAACAAGTTGCAAAACTAAATAAAGCAAGCGATTATTTAAATTAAACAATTGAAGTTATTTTCTACAATTCGCATGTCATTTTAGGGACATTCCAAGAAAGTAGTCTCTTTTCTTCTTTCTTTTTTTTGGAGTTCCGTAAACTCTTGGATCTAAACGTTGGCAATGAAGCAGCTGAAGGAATTTCAGATCATCTTTCCATGGCTTTTGAAAATTGTGGAAGAAGTATTTCCAGTCACAACTTTGTTTTGTTAATATTTCTGTTTATTATCTGTATTTATTGTGTACTTTTTATACATACATATGTATAGTATAGTTCAAGTATAGAATATATTACGTACGAGTACATTCAAATGCTAACTAATCGGAAGTCGCTTAGTCTAGTAAATATTTGTTATTGTCGCGAACCTAAACAAACAATTTTGCTAAGTTTTGAATAGCGGCGCAATTCATTTTCCCAGATTTGTGACATTCGGAACTTTTAATTGGCAGCTGGAGATTTCGAATATGTATTTCGATATTCAATAAACGGTTCTTGTCTCTAGTAGGTTATACGAGTAGTCAGATGCATTGAAACAAGTCTTTAGATATACATAAGCGAACAAAAATTAAACTTAGGGCGACAATGCTGTTGGCTGTTGGTTGTTTTGTGACACATTGCCGTTAAACGTGCATAAATTATTTACAAAATACGCAAATACGTTGCGAAAGCCTGCTCTCAGCGACGCGTAGACGATGATTCTACAAGGACGCTATGAAGGGCGTCAGATCGGGAAACTTGAAGAGATTCTGATTGCGCGAACGTGTAACGCGCGGCTGGGCAAGACCCTGACGCTGCTGGGGACTGAAGCCGGAGGCCTGTTGGCCGGTCAAATAGATGCCGCACTGCGAGTTGCAGACCTCGTCACGCAGAATAGCCTCCTTGGGCCACTGACGTATCAGCTGGCCGCAGTCGGTGATGCGCAGTGAGGCACATTGGGCCTGGAAAATGGGTTGGTACAGATTAGCAAGAGCTACTGATTATTAAATCTGTATAACTTACGCCATCGGTGGAGCAAACACAACTGGTGCACGGCGAGGGGAAGGCGGACTCGCCAACACGCACATTTCGCGAGCCAATCTGGCAACCCTGCACATTCTCGCGCCAGGCATTCAAATCAATCTGTGGCATGGACTGACAGGGTACGCGAGGATTACTGCAAGGAATTACAGAGTTAGGGGAGTTCCAACTTTAAAAAAAATGTTTCCAGCTACTTACAGGAAATTGCTGGGCAAATCGAAGGCAGCACGTTGCATATCGCCGGGTATCTCCAGATTCTCGCAACTGATCTTGGCCAGCGTTACCTTACGTATCTCAGCCAGCTGAGCTTCGGTGAACTTGACTTCGGGGTTCTGATTCTCATACCAGTAGCGATCGCACTTGCGCAGCTGTCTAAACTGGATGCCGATAATGCATGCTAGTGTGGGACCCACCAGACCGCCCTGCAGCGGACGCTCTGTCATGGCACCAGGGAACAGATCGATATCATCGACGGAGGCATAGACCTTCTGGAAGCGGCTGATCACCTCGGTAGGTATTTCGCGACTCAGATCGTTCCAGTTGCTGGCGCGCTTCAGATTACACAAAGCACGGTAGTTGTTATAGGATGGTATGCCGTGATCGCGTGCTGGATGAAGGAATGGAAGGAGTTAGAGAAAGGGATGCAGACAAGTACCCTGCAAAGATTCTTACCACGCTGAATGTTGAGAGCGATCAAATCAATACCGGAGAAGGGAATCTTGCGATCCTCAAACAAGTGATTGGTGACCTCGCCGGTAATGAACTGATCCAACGTCTCCATGGGCGTGGCAACCAAACCGCGCATGATCTCATCAATGATGCCCGGCTGTAGCAAAGCGTCCATGCGGAAGAAGCCATCACGGAGCAGCAGGGGTGGATCCACAGGCTGATGCTGGACACTGAGACGAGGAATGTGGGGACGAAGCAGGGAGTGACCTATGCGGAAGGCGGCAGCAGCAAATTCATTGAAAATAATGGGACTGCACGAGGGATTATAGTCCTTGTAGTAGCCCTGAGGCAACAGCTTCAGGCCATACAAATTGACGGCGTTCCAGCTGAGAATGCGGGGCAGGAACTCGTTGAAGGCAATGTGTTGGACCTGAGCGCTGACAATACGACGGGCATGATGGAACAACTGTTCGCCGTTCCAGTGCGGATTGACGCCGCGCAGACCCTCGACAAGGCGATTGTGCTCTCGAATGAAGATGGTGTGGATGGCAGTCAGACCAGGTTGCTCGGAGGCGCGATCGTCGCCACCGCTGAAGCACAGACCACTGGGCGATTTGCACTCGGGATGGACGTTGGTCTGAGGCAACAGCTCCTTACCGCGCACTGGGTGGACGGTGCTGTTCATGCGGCCAGAGAAGCCACGCAAACGTGTAGCCACGCAAATATTCTCACCGTAGATCATGGATCCGTCCAGGAAGTGGGTGTTTTGATTTATTTGGTCACGTGGACCCAACGTCTGCTGGCCGGGCAGCGATCTCATCGAGGGGAAGCAAAAACGTTCACCACTGGTCACATTCACCTCAGGATAATAGAAGTCGCCAGGTGGCACGGGGAAGGGGTTGCACTCGGGGTGCACTGTCTGACGGGAGTTGCAACGTCGGCAGCTAGGAATGGACTCATGGAAGCCCTTATGTATGGGCGTCATGGTCAGATCGTGATCGACAAACTGCGCAAACTGCATGACCATCAGAGAGTAGCGTGTGTGCAAGTTCGATATGTCCGGATGTATGGTGGTGGAAATGGTGCGAGGGTTGGGCAATGGGCCTCCGGTAATGCCAGTAACACGGGGTGCCGAAATGCCATCCTCATACTGGGCAGGCAGCAGACGCGAGAAGGTGGTCAGCGACTTGCCCCAGTTGGGATTGCGCAGGTTGTTGCAACGTCCCGACATGGTGCGGAAGGGGCTGCTGGCATCGCATTGCTGCGATGGTTCCGGACATTCGCCCTCGTTCTGATGCTGCTGACCTATCAACGAACTTATGTCCACAGTCTGCAACGTGTCCGTCAGTTCGTTGCGATTAAAGGCTTTCTGATTTGGATTGAAAATTTGGCGCTTCCGACGCGAAATGCTGTTCAGTGACTTGAGAATCTCATTGGAGGTTAGCTCGAAAATTAACGAAGAATTGGCAATGTCTAGAGCAGCGCGATTAGCCTTGCTGAAAGAAGCTGCGGTGCCATCAGGTGATTTAGCGCTGACGCCGCCCTCTGTGGGGAATGGAAGAATGTAGTTAGGTACGTCTAGGTTTGTTGGTCTAGCACTGAAGTACTTACGTTGACGCCACACCTCGTACTCGAAGCGCTTGCGCTCCTCCAACTCCTGCTTGGCACGCTCCACAGCCGCCTCAATCAGCGCAGGATTCAATTCACTAAAGGCATCCTTGGTCTCGGGCTCAACATCTACATGCTCCACCAGAGTATCATCCTCCACACTCACTTTCCAGGGGCGTATATCGAACTTGGGCAGCTGGGTGCAGTCCAAAACGGAGTTCCTAAATGGTTACAGTAGGGCATGAGCTTGGAACTCCGAGTATAAAATGTCAGCTTTAACTCACAGATAGTTATCCTCGCGTATAAAGGCCTTTGATTGGGCCGTTGTTACTTGATGGGAGCCACAAAGCAAGCCGGATAGCGTGGTCTGACGAATGCTCTTCAGCTGTTCCAGCGTAAAGGAAGAGGGTGGAATTTCGTTCTCATACCAAAAACGATCGGTTTTCTTGATCTGCTCAAATTGCAGTGTCATCAGGCAGGTAATGGTGGGTCCGAACAAAGCACCGACAGCGGGATCTTCGAGCAGCGCACCCACAAGCAAATCAATATCCTCGGCGTTTCTGATAAAAGAAAGAGATAAGCAAATATAAGTTGTTGTGAAGGCCAAGACTTTCATCAATTGACTCTGAACTTACTGATAGATATCGCGCAAGTTGGTAATATGCTCCTCGGGTATATTGCTCAAGGTGGATAAGTTGTCGAAGCTCACATTTGTGGCTGCTGCGCCCTGGCCATAGCGACGCTCGCAAAGGTCCAATGCGTGCACATAGGAGGCGATGCCATGATCGCGGCCACGATGAACGGCCAACGCCAACTCAGACCAACCATCGGCATTCACTTGGCTGGGCACCAACGACTTCTGCAGAGCGGCAATCGACAACAGCTCGTGGGCAGAGCTCTTCTGTGACAGCATCTCGGGTGGGTACATGCTCCAGAAGGCAGGCATGGCGCTGGTGGCGAACTCGTTGTAAATGCCAGCACGCACTGAGCTCGAGTAGTTGGACGAATGCTTCTCGGGTGTCAGTCGTAGGCCCTCCTTGGCTGTGGTCTCCTGACCCAACACCAATGGCAAGAACTCGTTGTAGGTGATGTGCTGTATGGTGGCAGTTATAATGCGTCTAGCCTCCAAGAAGACATCCTGCTCCGACCACTCGGGATTAAAGTGAGCCAACTGCTCGCCAATATTGTTGTGCTGCTGCAGCAATGCCCGATGAAGAGCACCCGTGGCCCCTGAAAGTTGGCAATGACGGCAGCTCTCCACCTTCACACCGCCACTGATGTAGGTGCGCAGTTGGTCGAACTCGTGCTGAGTGGAGCCGTACAGACCGGAGCCATCGATATAGGCCGAGGCAATGTTCATCTGCTGGCGAGTATCTGCAAAGTAGGGCGTTTAATTAAACCAGTCTTCCATGTCGTCTATCATAAGAATTAAGTGAAAGGCGCCTGTTATAAATAAGATTTTTATCAAATCACTGACAAATCTAAGCATAAACCTTTACCTAGATGGGATAAGGCGGTACTCTTGAATCAAGTTTTTTTGGTGCTGGAGCAGTAAAAATATTACCATATTTTAAAAAAGCACCACCCGTCATGCGAATAAGTCTTCAAAGCTTATGAATCAGTGAACTATGCCTTATAGCTGTTATAGGAACGATTCGTGGAATGAAGTTGATTTGAGGGATTGCTGCACTTTATCAGCCTTTAGTCTTCCCCTTAGTCTTCTTTTTATTCAACCCAACCTTATCGCCTACTCACGTTTTTTGCATGCCTCGGCATCGAAGCCTGGAGCCGAGCGCTTGTATTCCTTGCAGTCGGGACCGGGACGGACAAAGCACTGCTGGAGCTCGCTGGGATCCTTAGCGCCGGCAGCCTGATTGCAGCACCGGCCGTTAATAGGCAGTTGTCCGACCTCGTACAGATCGTTGGCCAACAATTGGCCCCAGGCGGGCAGCATGGCAGTGATGTGCGGATGACGCAGCTCGCCCTCGACATGACGCTGCAGCTGCTCAATCACCAGTTCCGCATCCGGCAGGGCGTGAGTGCCGTGCGAGCTGCGTGGCTGACTCACTTCATCCGCATAGTCGGCTTGCAGCAGACGCAGGAAAATATCGCCCCGAGCGCCCCACTTGCGATGCGACACATTGTTGCACTCCGCTGTCGGCTGGCGGTACTTGCTCGGCGGGCACACATCGTACTCCTCGGCGGCCGCAACACCCGTTGGACTACACTGCGTCACAGAGCGAGCGCGCTCCGAGCGAAGCGCATTGACGGCACTCGACTCGAGATCCTCGGGCAGTCGTAGCGTAAAGCTCGGCGCACAGAGACACCTATAAATAAACAGAGAGAAGAGTTAGCAGATGAGTATGGGAAAATAGTAACTGTATTACGTATGGGGAGGCGTATTTCCCATTAGTCTAATCGTATTTCCCCAAGCTGTAAGCAAGCTCAGATATTTTGCATGCCTTGTGCTTATTTAATGGCGCAAGATCTCGATATACTTTGTTTCATCATTGACAGGCTAAGCCGGGTTGCGGGCTTTTCAATAGCTTAATTGTTTACTTTTTCACACTATTCAAACATTAGGCTTACAGTGGCTACAAATTATGCTTTTGGAGACAAAAAATGAAATAATTGTGGTAGCAATACTGGCATTAGCTGGAATTGTTGAAAATAAATTACAAATTTGCAAACAAACTAGTCAATTAGTGATAAGAAAACACTGGAGAGAAGCCAGACAGTGAAATATTCTTTACCATGCCCATAGCAGAAGCAATAAAAAGAGGAAGACCGAACGCGCTTCTTTAGTTGGTAGCTATAGTACTGGAGTGGAATTTTTTACTGATCACTTTTCTTCGAATTAAATTTGAATAAAATTTGACACAGAAGTAGAGAATCAGTAATTTATATTAATACGAATTAATTAATAATAATAACGTGTGCAAAGTTTGGTTTATATAGCTATGAAATTATGGACACTATTGAAAAAATTTTGAAGGGGGAAACAAATTAAAAAAATAAAATAAACTAGAGATGTCTGGCGATGAGCAGAGTCTACATACAAAGCTTTGTCAATGTGAGCTATACCGTTCCAGAAATACAGCCGTTCATACAGACAGACGGACAGATGGACATATCTAGATGGATTTCGCTCATCATGCTGCTTCAGCTTTTTACCCTTCGGGTACAGGATATAAAAACACACAGATTCCATAGAAATTTTCTTCAAATAATGAAGCAAGAAGCTTGCTTTAAATAATGAAAGAATTATATATGTAGCTCTATTCCATATTCAATTGTAGTTACTTAAAATAGCAAAGCTGAGCTGAAAACTAGCCGCAATAGCTGCCTAAAATCATCCAATTATTATATATTTAAAGCCACTGTGCAGCACATTTTGCTCAGACTGCCAATCAACTAAATAGATAAGTCGGAGGCATCAGCATAGACTGCTAAGCGTCTAACCGGATATCAGACGCCAGCTAATCATTTTATGGCCACTTAAACAATGGCTGTTGCTCTCTCAGTCAACGGGCAAACAAACAATGGCCTGACTGAACCGCTTATTATATCATAATCTCCGCACAAATATTTAAGCAATTGATTGGGGTTTTTTTCTATTCTCATTCTTTTGAATGAGTGGCCAATGAGTGGTTGGCTTCACGTGATTCTCTGGCTGCATTGACATTAATTTTCGAGTGTTGTTCGATGTCACATCAATTTGTAATTTGGCATGCTTGAGAGCTTTGTCCATTATGCAATGAAATGTGTATAATTTGCCATTATATCTATCTTGTAGTTGTTGTTGTTGCTTGCACGAGTATTGTGGGCGACGGAAACTCATAAAGAGTTGAGCAATGAACTCAATATGCGGGTCTGCGCACAGTCGAGTGCTCCCCCACCTCTCTGACCGACTAATGTCTTCAATTATGTTAATTACTTTTGCAAATTCGCCGCTAAAATTTATCTAATGAGAACATTTGTATGCTGTCAAAAATTATTGACTGACGCACATTGCGGGCTTGCACATAATTTTCAAATTATGACGTTGTCTATAAAGCGCATATTTTGTATTCCATACTATACTAAGTAGTACGAGTATATTGGACATAGTGAGTTGTTGTCTTTGAATTTCTGGTTTTTCAAATGCCACACAAACATTTCGAGCACTTTACGAGTATTTATTGTTGAAATATTCGTTTCTTGTTTGCTGAGTTCAGCTTCAGCTTAGATTGCTTCAAGTGTTGGCCAAAACGCAATTGGTGGCATTTGAGCATTTAGACGATATACGAGTATTCAAGGTTGATCTGTGTAGTTGTTTGGCTGCTTTGTGGCCGGCGAGTTTGTTGCCCAAGTCTTTTGTTTTGTACGTAAGCGTTAAATGCATTTAATTGTTTGTTTACCTCTCTCTCTCTCTCTCTTTTTATCTCTTTTATTTTACTTCTCGGAGAGTTCAAATGCCTGCCAACTCAGTCATTAGCCACATTAACACTTTGTGGCATTTTTCATTTTCTGTTCACCATTTTGGAAAGACTTTTAAGTGCCTGTTTAAACGCCACCAATGGCTTTAATACGCTTTTACAAACTTAACGACCAGCAGCTGAAATTGGAATATATGGGATTACAACAACAACCAGCTCCAAATTGGACTGCCGATTACATAAAATTTCAATAGCGAACGACAATTTATAAAAATATCAACTCTAATATGCAGAGTAGGAGGACAAAGGAAATGGTTTTCGGCTGCAGCAACATTTTGAACAAATATTTATTTATCGTTTATATTTGAATTTAAAATTTTGTTTAATTATTATAAACAAATAGTTTAAATTGACAATAATGAGTCCATTATTTTTAAAAGCAAAAGTAACTAAAACGACTCCGACTCGATGGCCTGACCTTTTTCACAGCCAAAGATATTCAGAAATGTTCTTATAGCCTAAATGGTATAAATATAGGAAACATTTAATGTTTTCATTCAACCTTAAAACATAAACTGATAAATAATTACAGTTTTTTCATCTAATTATATTTAAAAGTCTTCCAAAAATACTTTTCAAGAATATAATACATAGTTTTAAATAAATATAGTCTATTTTTAAATGACAGTCGATATACTTCGTTTTCAATTATAATATTTGTATACGAAAAAATATTTATTGAAAACCGATTTTATTTAATTGGAAAAACGTATTAATAATTGACATAATTGTGACATAAATAATGAAATGCTAACACAACAATATCTTCTTTAACGCGAATATTTTTTTGTTAACAAAAAAATAGTACATAAGCTCATAAAATTCGTTTTATTTCGAAACCGCTAGCAATTCGTTGCGAAGCAAATAAAATCAATTGAACAGCGTTGTTGCCAATTCTTTGAACCAATTCCAAGTATTATTAGGTGGCTTAAAATTGTTGCCAATTTCGGCAACAGCCACAGCAACAAAGGCAGCACATCAACAATAACAACAGTGCTCGCCTCGGAGTAATAATAGGTATTATATATTTATTTACTCGAAGCATTAGCGGAGCTTGTAGCCACAATAGCCATTACCTAAAGGCAGTCACGTCGCGGTTGATGCGCGCCTCCAACTGCTCAACGAAAGCGAAAGCTTTTGTGGGCCACAACGAGCAGCTGACACACAATTGGACGAACAGACAAACAGACAAACAAACATTCACACTTTGTACAGAAGGCAGCCAATTTACATTTGTTGTCTTAAAGTTGTGGCTTCGTTGCTTTGGTATTTATGTCACACACCCCGTGCTGAATTGAAGAGTAAAAAATGTGTGTCACATGTGACTTGATGACACCAATACAACAACAATAACAACCACAATGATAAAAATAATAAACAGCTGCAAATGGACAAGCAATTAGTGACGACAAATAATAGAAAAATAGGTATGCGCGGCACACACGTCGTATGAGTTATTCAATTTTTGCGCACAATGCAGACTTATGACATCGATCGCTTATGACTGCCCGCACCACAATTTGCTTAACAATTTAATGTATTAAGATGCAGCAACAACAACGACAACAGCACATCAATTTCCTATGCATTTCTGCTTTGATTTTGTGCAGAAAAAATGAAAGTTTCAGTTTATTTCCATAGCAAATATTTATGGTTGCTCCTAATGTTGACATCGATCATTTGGCAGATGCAAATCCGCAAATAAATTCATACGCAAATATTTGTATTTATGCTCAACAAACATTATATAATCGTGTTTTGCAAAAATGCCGATTAATTTTGTGTGCGTGTGTGTGTGTGAAATGAAAGCCCTTATTGAAAATGTTGTTTATTGATTTCTGCCAATTGGCAGGCGCTTGAACCTGCATTCAGGCATTCTTTACAACATTTTTGTTTTGTGATGATTCATCAGTGATTGCAGTTTAAGCGGAAATCAAATCAGCGTGTCGACTTTTTAATTAAAACATATAAAAATAATGAATTTAAATGCGGAATGTGTTTTAAGGTCATCAGCAACATTTCGAAGAACAATCGATGAATCGTTGTGTATGGAAGAATCATTTCTAACATCGTTTCGAGCAGTCTTTTCGGTAAACAACCATAAACCGATTTATTCATTATCTATCTTATTACTCCAAATTGTACAGCAGCTATTAAATAAATATGTTTTTATATATGAGCAAATCTGTTATAAAGGAATCCTTGAATGTATGGAATTTTAATTAACAACACAATATTAAATATTCCTACCTCCATATACTTATATTCGTAGTTACATATTTAATGATTTCTTATAATTACTAACTTTTTAATTACGAGTATTAAGCATGTGTTGGAAATATAAGTAAATACATTCCAAACTATCTCTCATTCAATAACTATTGTGAAATTGTTCATTCATTCATTACTCTTGCCTACTTTTTGAAGCTTCGACAAGAGCTTGCACAAATATCATCATCCTCTTAAGCATATGTACTATATAGTACATACATCTACAAATTTGTTGTATATAGACATTATAAATACCACGAATTACTGTCCGGCAAATACAAATAACTTGGGTATATACCCAAAGCTATTGCTGAAAGCTTGCATTTGCATTTAGCAATGTTGAAATAATAAAAACTGCAACTATTATCGCTGGCGCTGCTGTCAGTCAGTTAGGGAGTCAGTCAGTCAGCCAGCCAGTCAGTCAATCAGTTACACAGCTAGGCGGCGGCAATCACCTGAAACACGTGAATCTGAAAATACCAAATGGCAGATGTAACAAGTCAAACAGGTCGCCAGCTATGCGTCAGCTCGGGTGTTAGGGCAGAAGATTTCTGAATCAACAGGCAGTTGCAAATGTT